TGCCCCCTCTTGTCTACAGTGGTGAGGGTGAAGCAAAGATGCTCTCCCCCTCCACCCCTACCCTCTGCAGCAGGTGAGGGTGCAGACCCTCCCCTTTACCAGCTGCAGCATTCAGGAAAGCCGGCCTTGTATCTCACATGGGCAGCACAGTAGAGCTGATCCTGTTGGGCTGGGGGTGGGGTGGGGTGAGCAGGCACCAGAACATGAGTGTGGGAGATCTGGCCCCGCCCCTTATCTGCCATATGGTGGCAGGGGCCCCTTATCAGCTGCAGCCCCCAGGAGAGCAGGCCCTATACTTCACCTGGACAGCACAGTAGACCTGGCCCTGTTGGCAGGGCGCAGCTGAGCCAGCCCCAAAGGTGGGAGAGTGGGAGAGCTGGCCCCACTGTCTATCATTAGGAGGTGTGGGCAGGGAAGACATGCCGCCCCATTACACTTCACCCCTGCTGCCTGTGACAGATGAGGGATGTTCATAATGATAACTGCTAGGTCTCAAACCTGGAACAAAGGCGAACTAAGTAGTTTATTAATATATCAAAGCTGGCATTGGCTGCCAGGGTCTCCTGCATCCCTCAGTCCCTACCTATTATGGGACCTGGCTGGCACACCACACCCTCTGCCCTAAACTGCTCCAGCCCAGGGGCTGGGCTGCCCTCCCCTCCCCCAGCCCAGCTGCTCCTCCTATATAATCCCCCTCTGTGGGCTATGCTTTTGCTTCTTGTCCAGTCTCTTGGTCGTTGGCTCATCTCTTGCTCTCCTGCTGCCATCTCCTCACACAGCCCAGCTCAGTCTGACCATGTCCACTCTGGACTCTCCCAGATGTCTGCCTCTGGCTGTGCTCTCCCTCACAAGTACAATAAACCTTCACCTGGACCCCTTAGGAGCAGTCATGGCCTCCTTTTATTTCTTTTTGCCATTCAGTAACTATTCCCAAGGATACCACACCTGCGCAGCAAGGATGATTTCAGTGGCTGTGCTCAGGAAAAGCCCCTCTGGTGGAGCCATGTAAGCTCACACATGCAGAAAGCCTCAGCTAAGCTACCCATGTGGTGGAGTAGCACTCGAAAGGATGAGCACACAAATGAAGTGTCCTCCACATTTTTTCTGATTTTCCTCCCAACATTTGCCTCTCATGTGTTTCAAGTTTCCCTAGAGGGTTTATAGGCATGTATAGACTCCACTCATCCCACTCTCATTTTATAGAGAAAAATACAAGCGTATACCCCTTGCTAGGAGTTTTCAATCTTCAGACTGAGTCAGTGAGCTAAGAGACAGCAGAGCTGTGTTTGGAACCCACTCTTCCTGACTTTCCACCTAATGGCTTCAATTCAACAATTAATTCACCATGTGAGTAACAGTAACAGAGTTTACTATATGCCGGGCATTGTTCCAACACTTCATAAATACTAACTGGTCTTTACAAGAGCAGATACAGAGGGGATCATCCTGCCCATCCACCACCATGAGACAACCTCAAACTACAAAGATAAGCAGCCCAGGGCCACATAGCCAACTACACAAGCAGCCACCCAACCACAGAACACATCCTTTCAATTTCCACCCATCTGCCTCCTTCTTCGGTGGAGTTTTTCATCTCTCATGAGATACATCACTTTTGTAAGCATGACTCCTGAGGAAGTTAATGAACTGTAAAACTCATGAGAACTTCAGATTAAAATCAAGCATAAACTCTTAACTTGCTAGCATCAATGACTGAGACTGAAGAAGTGAAAGTGAGGCCTGAGGTAGGCCAATTCTTACCAAGATAAACTGTTCCTTTCAAAGCCATTCTGAAATGTTTGTGTTGCCAGCTTTTTCATCCACACCACATATCAGGCCAACACACACATAGTTCCTTGATAGAGCAACGAGGTTTGGAAACTCTAATCTGAGGTTCATTTGGTACAGAGCCACAAAACTTTCTGCTTGGTTAGTTAAGGTCAGACTGACCCATGGGTTATCAAAACATGGATTTGAGAAGTCATTAAATATACTCTGATTTTACAATTCCAAGTAATTTAACCCAACAAGCCTGAACCATCTGGTTCTTCCCCAGTCTGTCGATACTTTAACGGCTCTCCAGGTTTTAGGGAATTTTCTTTCCCCAAGTAGATGACTCAGCAGTGTGAAGGTGATTTTATAGCCGTTTTTCCAAGTCCACATGCTTTATATCTTTTACAAACAAAGTCACAACTACTTAAAGTCATAAGGCAAGGTGTACATTGTTAGCTAATCAAACAACTGCATTAGTTAGATACATTATTTAAACTCTGAATTCATCAACATAAGGCTTTTCTCTGTGTTCTATGCCAAATACTTGCATTTTTGTGGAAAGTGGTCTTTGCCAACCCTCACACCAGCTTGAGTTTGGCTAGCAGTTTGACTGATAGAATATGAGCACCACCATCTGTTAAGGAAGAAGCTTTCCTTAACTGGCAAAAATGAAACTGAGGAAATGATTGCAAAATAGCAGCCTGACTTGTTTAGAGTTGATAGAATCAGACCTAAAAACTGCATATTTTCCAAAGTCTATACCAGGTCTGAAAAATAGATGAGTGGCCTGCTTAACAGCCCTGCTGCACCATTTTCTGCTTTGATCCCCAGGACCTATCCCATCTATCTCGAGGTCCTCCCCCTCCTACCCCATCACCAGCACCCCTGCTGGGCCCTGCTCCCCAACTGCAAGGGAAGTCCACTGCTCTGGTACAAGCCACACCAGTCAGAGGGCAGGGTGAGTGACCCACCTGCCACCTGGACTACCCCACTGCTTGGAACCTGTTTTCCCAAGAGCCATTGCACTGCTAAAGCCCTCCCACCTGATCATCCACTCCTAGCACTAAGTGCTTCATGAAGAATTTGGAGAGATCTCATAATATCTACTTAACAGAATACCTGAAAGTTCTAGAACAAAAAGAAGCAAACACACCCAAGAGGAGTAGACAGCAGGAAATAAACTGAAGGCTGAAATCAGTAAAATAGAAATAAAGAGAGCAATACAAAGAATCAATGAAACAAAGAGTTGGTTCTTAGAGAAAATCAAAAAAATAGACAAACCCATATCCAGACTAACTAAAAGGCAGAGAAAGACTATCCAAATTAACAAAATCAGAAACAAAAGGGGGGATATAACAATAGATTACAAGGAAACCCAGAGAAGCAAAAACCTGCACTCCACAAAATTGGAAAATCTAAAAGAAATTTCTTGATAGATACCACTTACATAAGTTAAATTAAGACCAGATAATCAATTTAAATAGACCTATAACCATAAGAAAATAGGATCAGTCATTAAGTCTCCCAACCAGGAAAAAAAAAAAAAAAAAAAAAAAAAAAAAAAGCCCACATATAAACCCCCCCAAAAAAAAAAAAAAAAAAAAAAAAAAAAAAAAAAAAACAGGACCACAAGGTCTAAACACAGAATTCTACCAGACTTTCAAAAAAGAATTCATACCAATTCTCCTTAAATCATTCCACAAAATATAAACAGAAGGAACACTGCCAAATTCTTTCTGTGAGGCCACAATCACCCTGATATTCAAACCACACAAAGACTCAACAAGGGAAGAGAACTACAGACCTATTTCCCTCATGAACATTGATGCAAAAATACTCAATAAAATGATGGAAGACTGAATCCAAGAACACATCAAAAAGATCACCAAGTGGGCTTCAACCTAGAGATGTAGAGATGGTTCAACATATGAAAATCTGTCCATTTAATCCGCCATATAAACAAACTGAAAGAAAACACAAAATCATCTCATTAGATACTGCAAAAAAAAAAAAAATCCAACACCCCTTCATGACAAAAATCTTGGAACTATCAGGGATACAAGAGTCATACCTAAACATAATAAAAGCAATATACAGCAAGCCAATAGAGGGATCTATTGTGGAGCCCAAGGCAGTTGGATGTCAAGGAGAGCACAGCTGCCTAAACAAAATCCTATACTACAGAGAAGATGAAAAGAAGACACAAGATAGTCATGTCTGTGTATTCTAATGAAAAAAAAAACATAGCATGCATTGACTCAGGAGAAAACATAAAACAAACCAAATTTGAGAGATACTCGATAATAAAAAGTTGCCTAATTTTCATTTCAAGGGCCCAAAATTAAATGCTGGAATTATTCTGGGCTGGAGGAAATGAAGGAGACATAGCAACCAAGTGCAACATTCAATCTGGAATGGTCTCTCCTGCTAGAGTGTTATTGGGAAACCAAGAAAAGAGGGTTGAGTCTGCTGACCTTGATGGCTAACTGAAAGAGAATGCCCTGGTTCCAGTTCTTCAGGGAAACAACTCTTTTCTGTCTCTGGAAATTTTCTATAAGTCTTATATTACCATAAGTAGAGACATGCTGGAGAGTGATCATGTTGAAAGCAAATATAATTTCAGAACTGTAGAGCTCTGAATATATGGAAGCAGACCTATTCAACAGTAACTAAAACCACAAAAGGAAGAACAAGAGCACGGTGTCATGGGTGCTTACAGTACATGCAAAGGAGCGTGAAATTATTTGAAGGTCATCGATGATATCTTACAATGTATAACATAAGCCTTGAAAAACAAGGAAATATTTGCAAAGACAAAAAAGGTCACAGAAAGAAAAAAACAGCTATGTATGTGTCTACAGTGTGATATCACTTAGGAAAACCACTGGGAGTGGCATACTAATGTGGCGTGAAGAGAAATCGTTAGTGTGAGAGTGGTGGGCTTCACTGCCTAAAGCTTTAAACTTCCTGCCATCAAAACACTCCAGAGGCAAAAAAAGACAATGTTAAATGTGGTGGAGGGAAATACTCAAATGTATTATCAATAAAGGGTTAATGTTGCCAAAACATATAAAGAGCTATAACAAACAAGTATAAATTATGATGGAAACACAGGACATGAGCAGGTTAATCATAAAGAAGGAAATTACAGGCAACACATACTCACCCTAACTCCATGCTATCTGCAAATTGCAAGGCCTTACCATAGTCAACAGAGTCCTACACACCTGCGTTATTGCTTCTTGGGGTAATGCCGAGATGTCAAATTCTACAGGTTTCGTGACAACAGCCTCAGAGTAACTCTGCTCAGGGCCAAGGCTCTTTTCATCAGTTGCTTTGGATTTCCAGTTCCTCAACTGAAGTTCGTGATTTAAAATCTGCAATGAAAATAAGCTGTAAATCTCAAGGAATTGCCTTAAGTGTCAAATGCAATGATCCATAGAAAGCACAGACTTGGCATAACATTAGCACCAGCTACACGTTTCTGATTATCATTCTGACCCAAGTGATGACTTTCCACACAAACACAAAATTCCCTGAACCATCTCAGCCTTTACAGACCATTTCCATTAGTGGTCATAAATATTGGCATAGACCTCCTCCTAAAAGACCTGAAGTCCTCTCCTATTTTAGAGATGAAAGAACTGTGGGCCACAAAGCAGAGTGTTGAGCAATGGAATTACTAGTGTTTAGGGACACGGAAGGAAGTGTTAGCAAGGTGATAACCAAAAGAGAGGAATTGGGGAAAAATTTCAGATTTATTGTTACAGCAAACCACACTTTGACGTGACACAGTTCCTGAAAGCTGTAATGAGAAAGCACTTCTATGGGTCAATGAGTATTTTGCACATACCTCTCCCAAACCCATGTACATAATTTTAGTATGAGGTATTTACCATGCAATCTCAGGAAGGGTGCATATTGGAAAGCCAACATGCAGAGGTAACGCCTTCCTTGGTTTCCTGCACACACCTGTTATCTTTACTCAATGATTGCCGAATGACTGTTGACCAAGAAATTGTATAGCTAAGGGGATTGGATTCCTAAACACTCATCTAACCACAATATATAAGGGATAGTAGAGTGTTGCTAATATACACTCTATACACCAACCAAAGCATGCCAAACATCAGGCTCAAGAGAACCCCAACTTTTCACTGTTAGAGCACCAGTGATCAGTGGGGCAGTAGTACACAAAATGGTTGCAAGCATGGCATAAGAAGAGTCACAGTGGTCCCCAAGGCCAAGATACACAACTGGCAATGTTGACATGGTTTCCATTATGGGGAAAGGATAGAGGACAGCATGCAAAAAAGCCAGTTCAATGTCTGTAAGTTGTACAGATCTAGAAAAGAAGATTGAACCGGCTTCATGCACAGCCGAGCAACACACACACACACACACACACACACACACACACACACACAATCTTCCTGCATGTGTGGACTGACAGGTCCAACAGCTTAACAGATTGTGGGTGAGTGGGATTGTTGGTCCTGCCCTCGGAGGGCAAGGATTTAATTTCAACTTCTTTTTCTCTTTCCTATTATCTCAACTTTGCATTTTAAAGACTAATCACAAAATTATTGCCTATTAAATGATGTAACTACAAAAATTTCAAGCATATCTCTGCATCTGATTCAAGTATTCTGAACGTTCTAAAACAAGTGAAGCAATAAAATGCAGAAATAAGCAGAAGAAAGTAGTTTTAAATTTGCAGGTGTTTCCTCGGGTCCTCTATTTTAATTGCTTAAATTATGGGTGGGTGTCCTAGTTACAAATATTTCTTCAAGTTTAGCCGTTAGTAATTTTAAAAATGTATTACTGAAATTGTGATATATTAAATGTTGGAAAAGGAAAGCAACTTAATCTTATTTAGAAAAGGAACAATTTACTGAGTCCTTACCATGTTTATTTTGTTCATATCAGAGATTCTCATAACTTAGACATCTAATATCTCAATATGAATTAAACAGAACTCTTAGTATCTTCATCAATATCTTTAAGCAAAATATTAAAATAATATTTCCTTCTTTCAAACAAACAGTGTCTACTATCATACCAAGTTTTCTTCTCTTCTTTTACACTTGCGTCTGGCATTCTCCTTCCATTTTGCTAGGATAACTTTTTGCCTTTGGATAGAGAAGATCTGTCGCAACCGAAACAGTGAGGCTGCAGGAAAAGTATCAGGTTATTGCATGTAGTGAAAGCTGTTTCTAAAAATAATACACTAATGTGTCTGACAATTTGTGCTTCATTTTAATCACACTAAAATTAATTACTGTTGATAGCATTAGATAGTGCTCTAGAAACTTTTTAAACCTGTAAATATCCCCTTTGCCCTTAGAAACTAGGTATAATAGAAATATATATTTCTTTAAAAAAACAAATTTATCTTTTACAAAACTTGGAATTCTAAGCATTTCACAAGAAACATAATCACCATGTAGTGTTCATATTCAATGTCTTTGAATTATGTGTTCTAGAATTAAACAGATTGCCAGATACATGCCAATCAGAGATCCATAACTCAAACACAGGAGCCAGAAAAAGCAAACAAGCTGAGGAGCAGGCAGGTTCCTTAACTGCACCAGGCTGTGCTGGCTGTACTGGCTGCATTGACGGCCCTGACTGTGCTGGCTGCACTGGCTGTGCTGGCTGCACTGACTGCACTGGCTGTGCTGGCTGCACTGGCTGTGCTGGCTGCACTGACTGCACTGGCTGCACTGGCTGCGCTGGCTGTGCTGGCTGCACTGGCTGCACTGGCTGTGCTGGTTATGCTGGTTGCGTTGGCTGTACCACCTGCCTGCAGGCTCCCCTTTTTCTTCTCAGAAGTTAAGGTTCAGTGTTTTTCTCTTTACCTTTGGTTTGGGTTTTTTGTTTTCAACTGAAAGTAGGTATTTGAATTGTATGTGAATACTTCTGATATTTAAACTTTGGCAATGTTTTTTTCACTTAAATGTTGTGTGAACAGCACAAAACATGGCAGCAAGCAGTTTCCAGTATCACAGGTGAAAGTTTAAAGCCTTTGTTCTTTGGTTCTACCTGCCAACCTCTCTGAACATCAGTTCTGTCCTAAAACCTCAAGTCTTTGAGAAGCCAGAACTCAGCTAGTTTAGTTAATGACCAGTTCTCACACTGGGCTGTTGCTATCAACTGAGAACTGAATGTGCATTCATGATGGTGTGTTCTCATTAACTCCCCACACCCTGCTTTTTCCCGGTTTGGAAGCCATCTCAATTATCAGCAGAGCTCAACGCCAGAGCTAAATCCAGCTCCTGACACAGTGCCACAGGTCTGTCCACCTAATAAAATATCTTTTCAAAAACAAATTAGCTTACAAACGTCAACACTTTCAGACTGAAATGTACAATTTCTGCAGTTGTTATGATAAAGAGTGTGGGGAACCTTGACAGAAAAAGAGGAACAATGTCCGTGAACTATCACCATAAAAATGTAACTTGGGTCTTTTATGAGATTATGTAACTTTGGGATTTTTTTAATAGATACCAAATGTATGTGTCATTTTTCCTACATGTATGTCTGTGGACCAAGTGCATGCCTGGTGTCCGTGGAAGTCAAAAAGGGACATCAGATCCCCTGGCCCTAGAGTGACAGGTGTGAGCTGCCATATGGGTGCTAGGAATTGAGCCCCGGGTCCTCTGGAAAAAAAGCCAGTGCTCTTAACTGGCTGAGCCATCTCTCCAGCCCCAAAAGATGTTGTAACTTTGGAATGACTTGATTTAAATTATGCTTTGTAAGTGTATTTATAAAACTCTATAACTGTGCATTGTGAGTGAGGGAGGCATAAGACAACATGGGACTACAGAAGGACACAGGCAGGACTAGGGAGAGCAGAGATGGGACAAAGGAAGGGAAGCATCAGCACCGTGCAGTTCCACCTGAGTGTGCGTGGGAGCTGTGGGGAGAAAGGCAAAGCACAGGAGTGATGCAACTAGAGATGAAGGGGTGGAAGTAGGAAAAGAAACATGACGAGGAAACAGAGTGAGAAGCCACATAAGATGGACAAAGGTGCTGAGAGGCAAGAGGAGCCTAGACGGACAGAGGAGACAAAAATTAATGCAAGGCATCCGGACTCTCAAGAGCGGGCAGTTCATTCGGTGTTTTGAAGAGCATTATTTGTGATGTGCTAGCCAGTTAGCCAGTCCCTAGCCCTTCATTATGGTTATGTTAAAACCTTCACAGTCCACTTGGAGATGGGGACAGACAACAATGTTCAGAAGGAGATGATTTTCAGCTGGGTGGGGTAACTCACACCTGTAATCTCAGAACACCAGGACTGAAGCAGGAGAATTGTCTTGAGTGCAAGGCCATCCTAGGCTACATAGTAAGACCTTGTCACAAGAGCAAGAGTGAGATGGACTGATTTTTCTCATTTGTCACAGCCACAGGTATAAGTTAGTACCCAGAAAATTGCCACCAAAAGGCTGGGGTCCTCTGACCCTGTCAAGATCATATATGTCTTGTCCATGCATCACAATCAAAGAAAATGGCTCTGTATTATGCTTGAAGTAGCTGGGTCTGGTGGTCGGGGCCTGTGATCTCAGCTACCAGGGGACTAGGGGATTGCAAGGTCAAGGCCCACCTGGGCAACTTAACAAGACTTAGAGATTCAAAGGAAAAAGGAAAAGCAGGTCTGTGGATATAGCCCCATGGAGGAATGTTTGCTATGTACAAGGCCCTAGGTTCAGTACCACACAAGGAAGCTAACAGTAGATCCTTATTTATATATACATACATACAAATATATTATATTATATTATATTATATATAAATGTATGTATTGATGGATGGATGATTTGATTTTAATCGTGAGTACTTTCCATTGCAATAAAATGTTTTAAAACAAATCTAACAAAATCACTGGGTTTTGTTATTGTTTTGTTATGACAAGCTCTCATGTCAGGTGATAACTAGTGTTCAACAGGCTGACCTACCAGATGAGTGATTGTCTGATAGGGAACCCCTCCCTGAAAGGAGTTACTGGTTGTGGACATCACTTGGTCCTGTCTGTAATTTCTCTCATGAGTCACTTCATTTCTTCCCTAAGAATAGCTTTTGGTGTTTTCTCATTGCTCATGTGTTTATTTCATGAAAACATTCCATCTGTTTGGCACATATATCTGTGGATAGTCAGGAAGATGACTTTTCATTTGTCTGTATAGTTTTGATATATAGACTATATATTGGGACATGTTTCATAACTGGATCTATTTGTCTGACAAGGACTGAAGACACTTAACAGCCTGCCTTGTTCTTTTGCTCAGACTAATTGCACACAATTAGCTCACTTTCACCTCAGAGCAAGTTTAAACTAGACTAAAGGCTTTTGGTGTACAGATCAAAAGTTCAAAACCTTACAGCTATGCACAAGGTCAGACCTACAGATATCCAACCAAGGTTACTAAGAAAAGCACATCAATTCTTTGCTTGTCAGTCTGCTAACAAAAGACGATGTCTCCAAGCTTATCTCACTGTGCCATCTGCCCTCTGGTCACGTCTCTCTTCAGTAACCTTGGACCCTTGTGCTGCCATGGCAATGGCTCAACTCCCTATCACTTGCCCTAGGAATGTGTTCTTGACCAATGAGAAACAACTCTTGTAATTTCTTTATTGCTTTAAGTTTCCTGAAGGAGAGTCTTGAGACCAGAAGCAGCAGCTAGGAGGAATCAGAAGTGGGACAGGAGAATTACAATAGAAACAGAACAGTAAAGAAACAGTGTGGAAAAGGGAACATTCATTCACCCTCAGATTTTTCTAAATCTCCTGCTTGCTGAAGCGTCCTGCCTGAACCCTGAGGGGGCATCAAGGCTGGTCCTCAAGAAGCTGCCATTAGTCTCACTCTACAGCTCAGGCCGGTCTTGAATTCCCTGAATCTGTCACAGGGTTCTGAGTGCTATTAGGCATGTACCACCACACCGGGCCTTACAGTGAGCACTTTTAATTGGTTCATTTTATAACAATTCTCTACACATGAAAATCACAAGCTCTCTAGGTTTAACTATTAGTTTGTTGATTCATTATATAATTGAACACCAAAATTAAGCACTACAGTGTTTATATTTACCTAAAAGCCTTTCTTTATGGCTTTCCACATAAGATAACCAGTGATTAAAAACCAATTTTTGACATTTAAACTTGCAGTGCGCTATCGCTTTATTCATTTTTTCAGCCATGATAGCTTCTTGATTTATACGAGGTATTGCAACTTCCCTCCAACCACTGCAGGTAAAAGATACAGAAAAATATTATTTTCAAAATATTACATTGAGACTAGGGTAATATAGTAGTAAATAGATTAAGACGAATAAGAAGTGAGATGCCTTTATCCCTTCAAAATCACAGCACACACACACACACACATACACACGCGCGCGCGCACGCGCCTGTAAACTGGGGAATGTCTTGAAGAATTCCTGGTAATTAAGATGTTATATGGCAGTCATATTTTTAATAAAATAAACACATCTTGGGGTAACATCAGTCTCATAACTTCAGTTTACCCAGAGAATCACCTTAATGGTGATTTTAAAAGGAATTTAAGTTCCCAAACATATCCAAATCCAAGGATTTTAGACAAGCTGTATTTCAGAGAAAGAGTATTCTAGCTAAATATAGCTCATCAAATCTAAGAGAAGCACAGTTAGTTTTCCTCTGTGTGGATAACAGCAGGGATAAAAGAGCAAGGACAAAGAAATAGTATGGGAAAACACTTTCTTACCCAAAGTGACTCTTTATTAAATGTCCAGTGTAAAATGTACATGCTTTTATCATCAACTCTGGAGTAACCTAAAATAAATAAATGAACTGCATATTAGAAATAAATAGGACAAAGCTAGGCATGGTGGCACACACCTTTAATCCCATCACTTGGGAGGCAACAGTAAGTAGAGCTCTGTGAGTTCAAGGCCAGCCTGGTCTATGTAGTGAATTCCAGTCTAGCCATAACTATGTAGTGAGATCCTGTCAAGAAAGAAAAGAAGTAGAATAGAGAGGCTGCCTCTGCAAGACCAACAAGGAACTGGGACAACAACTGCCTCTGGGGAGAAGAAGGGAGAAGTTAATACCACTTACATGCTTAGCAATTACATTCTATATGTCTATCACCTAGTTTTCATTGGTCATATTCTTGTCTATTTTTATAAATTCTCTGGAATTTGATTTGCATTTTGATTACATTCACTCTCTACTCCTTTCACTAATCTCTCCCAATCTCACCCACATAAACCTAACTCCCTCAGAGCTCCAGGTGCGCCCCCCAGGAGGGTCAGAAGTTCAAGATCATTCCCAGCTACATAGCAAGTTTAAAGCCAGCCTGAGCTGCAGGATACCTTGGCTCAAAAAGAAAAGAAAAAGCAACTGCAGTCTGTAGGCTACTATCAGGATTGATTTGTTTTTTTTGTTTTTTTGGTTTTTTTTGGCCTGTCAGTACTGTAAAATTATATTCTCTCCTGTAAACAATATATAAGAATGCTTCACCAAGAAGGACTAAGAAAACCACAAAATATAAAAAATATAAATCATGGAATCTGCTTAAAGAAAAACAAACTTATCCACAAAACTATTCACAATAAACATGGGACACCAAAGATATTTTGAAGTGACTAGCCTTCCGTATGTTCTTGGGGGAGAAAACATGACAGTAACACATTTGTTCTGTTCACGTGACTACTATTAAGGACCAAGAAGGTTTCTGACTTTTTCTTTTGCATGTGTATGTGAGAGTGTGGTTTATGCTCACTTCTGTGCACAGTACTAGTACAAATACAGTTCCAACAAGTTCATGTGACTTTAAATTTTGTAATTTTGAACTAAAACATCACCAAGATCTTACATTGTGTCAAATTTTGAAATAATGCAATGATCCCAATCCTGTGCTGTAGACAAGAAGTTTTGGCAACCAAATCCTGAACCTTGCTAGCTGTCACAGTATTCCTTTTCTTTTGAGACTGGCTAGGGATAGGCATCATGGTGCACTCCTTTAACCCCAGCACTTGGAAGGCAGAGGCAGGCGGATCTCTGTGAGATACAGGCCAGAATGAGGTACAGGACAGCCAGGCCTACATAGAGAAACCCTATCTAAAAGAATTCAAATAAATAAATAAATAAATAAATAAATAAATAAATAAGAGACTGGATAATTACTCGCTCCTGAGAAGGTATCAAACTTAAATATTTCTATGCAACAAAGTATGGGAATCATGATTTGAGTTAGATTAATGTTGTTTTCTGTAAATTTAAATGTAGCATAGGAGAATAATAGCAATTCTATGGTACTTGTGTGTGCTATTTCCTGTTATTAATGGCATCTGAAATGTAAAGAATGCCTTTACCAGCACTCATGAGTCACAGCAGGTATTCCATGTCCACCTGATCTACATAGCAAGACTCTTCCTCAAAAGTAATGTTTGTAATTAGTCTAAATTGTTGCAGTGACTTTGCTTAATAGAAGTTGTTAGTAAATGTCTACAAGTTTAGGAAAATTACTTTTCTAAAGTTGTATTTATTTAAATGCATTTGTTAAATAGAGAATTGAAAAGCAAGTGACAATGAGCATTCCTTCATACACAAAACCCTTTTGTTACCACCAAGGTGCCGTTCAGTAAACTGCAGAGGATGAAGAAGAATCCCGATCACCTTACCAAAAGCCAGAAATAGAGGAAAAACTCACACACAATACCACCACCAAAAATAAATCCAAAACAAACAAGAAATGACAAATCAATGGTCATTAACATCCCTCAATATCAATGGTCTTAACTCACCTATAAAAAGACACAGGCTAACAGAATGGATGCGAAGACAGAATCCATCCTTCTGCTGCATAGAAGAAACACACTTCACCTTCAAAGACAGACATTACTTCAGAGAAAGGGTTGGGATAAGATATTCCAATCAAATGGACCCAAGAAACAAGCTGGGGTAGCTATCCTAGTATCTAACAAATTAGACTTCAACCTAAAATCAATCAAAAGAGATGAAGAAGGTCATTTCATATTCATCACAGGAAAAATCCATCAGGAAGAAGTCTCAAAAGGCACCCACATTCATAAAAGAAACATTATTAAAACTCAAATAATAAGACCTCACACAGTTATAGTGGGAGACTTTAACATCCTACTCTCACCCACTGGACAGGCCCATCAGACTGAAACTTAACAGAGACAAAGGAACTAACAGAAGTTATGACCCAATTGGGATTAACAGACATCTATAGAACATTCTATCCAAACACAAAAGAATATACCTTCTTCTCAGCACCACATGGAACCTTCTCTAAAATCAACCACATACTCAGCAACATAGAAAACATCAACAAATACAAAAAAATTGGAATAATCCCCTGTATCCTATCAGATCACCATGGCTTAAAGTTGGAATTCAACAACAACACAAATTGCAGAAACTCTACAAACACATGGAAATTGAATAATGCGCAATTGCACCATTCCTGGGTCAAGGAAGAAATAAAGAAAGAAATTGAAGACTTCCTAGAATTCAACTAGAATGAAGACACAGCATATCCAAATTTATGGGACACTTTGAAAGCAATGCTTTCAAGTTCATAGCACTAGGTGCCCACATGAAGAAACTAGAGAATAGTCACACTGGAGAATTAACAGCACAATTGAAAGCTCTAGAACAAAAAGAAGCAAACTCACCCAGGAGGAGTAGATGCCAGGGAATAATCACATTGAGGGCTGAAATCAATAAAGTAGAAAAGAAGAAAACAACATAAAGAGCCAATGTAACAAAGAGTTGGTTCTTCGAGAAAATCAATTATACAAACCTCTATCCAAACTAACCAAAAGGCAGAGAGACAGCATGATAATTAACAAAATCAGAAATGAAAAGGGGGTCATAACAATGGACACTGAGGAAATCCAGAGAGTCATCAGGTCATACTTTGAAAACCTGTACTGCACAAAATTGGAAAATTTAAAAGAAATGGGCAATTGGATAGATATCACTTACCAAAATTGAATCAAGAACAGATAAGCAATTTAAATAGACCTATAACCCCTACCAAAATAGAAGCAGTTATCAAAAGTCTCCCAACCAAAAAAAAAAAAAAAAAAAAAAAAAAAAAAAAAAAAAAAAAAAAAGCCCAGGGCCAGATGGCTTCAGTGCAGAATTCCACCAGAAATTCAAAGAGCTAATACCAGTACTCCTCAAACTGTTCCACAAAATAGAAGCAGAAGGGCCACTGCCAAACTCTTTTTACAAGGCTACAATTACCTTGGTACCCAACCCACACAAAGGCACAACAAAAAAAGAGAACTACAGACCAATATCCCTTATGAACATTGATGCAAAAATACTCAAGAAAATACTGGCAAATTGAATCCTAGAACACATCAGAGAAATCATCCACCATGATCAAGTTGGCTTTATCCCAGGGATGCAGGGATGGTTCAACATATGAAAATTCATCAATATAATCCACCATATAAAGAAACTGCAAAATAAAAGTCTCACTACTCACTAGATTCTGTAAAAGCCTTTGACAAAATCCAACACCCCTTCATGATAAACGTCCTGGAGAAATCAGGGATAACAGGTACATACATGAGCATAATAAAAGCAATATACAGCAAGCCAACAGCCATTATCAAGCTAAATGGGGAGATACTCAACACGATTCCTCTAAAATCAGGAACAAGACAAGGCTGTCCACTCTCTCCATATCACTTCACTATTGTCATTAAAGTTTTAGCTACAGCCATAAGACAACAAAAGGAGATCAAGGGGATACAAATTGGAAAGGAAGAAGTCAAACTCTCACTATTTGCAGATGATATGACAGGTTACATAAGTGACCCAAAAAACTCTACCAGGGAACTCCTATAGCTGATACACACCTTCAGCAAAGTGGCAGGATACAAGATTAACTCAAAAAAATCAGTAGCCCTACTACATACAGAAGATAAATGGGCTGAGAAAGAAATCAGTGAAACATCACCCTTTACGATAGCCACAAATAACATAAAATATCTTGCAGTAACATTAACCAAACAAGTGAAAGACCTGTATAGCAAGAACTTTGAGACTTTAAAAAAAAGAAATTAAAGAAGATACCAGAAAATAGAAAGATCTCCCATGTTCTTGGATAGGTAGGATCAACATAGTAAAAGTGGCAATCTTGTCAAAAGCAATCTACACATTCAATGCAATCCTCATCAAAATACCAGCACAATTCTTCAGAGACCTTGGAAGAACAATAATCAACTTTATATGAAAAACAAAAGACCCAGGATAGCCAAAACAACCCTGTACAATAAAGGAACTTCCAGGGGCATCACCATCCCAGACTTCAAGCTCTATTTTAGAGCTATAGTCCTGAAAACAGCTTGGTATTGGTACAAAAATACAGGTAGACCAATGGAATTTAACTGAAAACCCTGATATTAGCCCAAACACCTATGAACACCTGATTTTTGACAAAGAAGCTAAATTTATACAATGGAAAAATGAAAGCATCTGGCATAACTGGATTCAGACATGTAGATGACTGCAGATAGATCCATATCTATCATCATGCACAAAACCTAAAAGGATCAAAGACCTCAACATAAATCCAGCCACACTGAACCTATTAGAAGACAAAGTGGGAAGTACCCTTGAATGAATTGGTACAGGAGACCACTTCCTGAACATAATACTAGTAGCACAGACACTGAGATCAACAATTAATAAATGGGACCTCCTCAAACTGAGAAGCTTCTGTAAGGCAATGGATACAGTCAACAAAACAAAACAGCAGCCCACAGAATGGGAAAAAGATATTC